CCTCTCACCTGCAATAACACCTCATCACGTCCCTTAGCCTCATCTTGGTGGCTGTCATCCTTCAAGGCCTTGGATGGAGCCTTGAAGCACTTGAGAGCCTCCCAGACCAGAAGCTGTCCGTTGGGGCCTCCTCAGCCTCAGGCCCACCCCACCCCATATACCAGGCAGCCTTGGGTTGCAGAGCAGCTGAGTCTAGGGCTTGGCGATCTTGACCCTGGAAAGCTGGGTTGGATGGGCACAGGACCGACAGTAAGGAGGCTTCTGGGAGCCTGAGCCAAGCGAGAGGTGAGGGGTGGAGGGAAGAAGCAGTCAAGGCCGGTCCCTTGGGTGGGCAGAGCGTCTCCACTGAGTCTGGTGGGGGCTCTCGGCACAGCGGTGGTGGGTGGATGGGCGTATGCCTGTCCTTCCCTGAGGGAGTGACCCTGAATGTGCCCCCACTGAGCAGTTGTGGATGTGTTTGCCTCTGTGTGACCCCACATCCACCTTCCGAAGGTACAAGGGGATGACTTAGGTCCCTGGCTGTCAGAGAAGGCTAAGGACCAAGTCCCTTTTGCAAATGGGGAGGGGACCAAAAGATGGGGGGAGACATAAAAAGAATTGAGATGTGTTATGTACGTGGGCCAACTCCCCATAAAGAATACGATTATTGTGAACTACAAACAGTACTAATAAAAACTAAAATTAAGAAAATAATAATAAAATCAATACATCCAAACATGCATAAAAAAAGACCAAGTCTAGCCTGATGGAGGAGCACTCAGTCTTGCCCAGCGGGTTTTTCTGGCCTGGTGGCAGCAGTAGCAGCAAAGGTGACAGTAGCAGCCCGTGGAGCGAAAACAAGACTGGGTGGGCGGGGGCTTCCGGGTGGGCGGGGCTTCTGGTGGGCGGGGCTTCCCTCTGCCCTGGCCAGGGCGGGGAACACACCTCGGGTGTGGTGCTAGCAGCCCAGCAGGGGGCTCTAATCATGAAGGGCCCTCTGGGCTCAGTACTCCATGAAAAGAAGAGGTGAAATAGCCTGCGCCCCCCAGACAAGAGATAGAATCAAACTGACCTGGGGCGGCATGTCGCACCACCTGTGAAGGCAGATTCCTGCAGGTCTTTGGGTCTCAGGGTCAGTGCATAGAAAGGCATAGCAGGTCTGCCAGGGTACAGAGGGTCGGTGGGCACCAGCTCTTCTGTCCCCTGCTGTGCGACCTTAGGCAAGTTACTGGACCTCTCTGAGCTTCCATTTTCTTTCCTGCAAACTGGATTTCTGGGAATTGTGGAGATTTCCTCCCTTCTTGTCTATGACACACGCAATCCATCCTGCCCGCCTGAATGGGTACCCCCCCACCCCTCTCTGCTTCATTTGCTCAGAGCCTTGAGTGCTATCCAAGACCTTAAAGAATTTCCTGATCATTTATCGTCGTCACCCCACTAGCACCTAGAGGACAGGAAGCCCATTCTGTGGGTGCTGACTTGCCTGCACCAGGGACAAGGAGCAGCCCTGAGTGGGCAACACATGCACATCGATGCCTGGGCACCTCTGCCGGGGAGGGAGCAAAACACCTCACTGGGGACAAATTGTCACTTATGACAGGAATGTCCTGCGGCTGGATAGGAGTGTGGGCAGAAGTCATGCAGCCCGAGCCCCGCACACCAGCCTTAGCGCCTGGCCTGCTGGCAGCCAGTGCAGACTTGCTCCTTGTAGGGGGAGCAGGGCCGCCCTTTGTAAACTCATAAAGGGAAGCTGGCTGTAGCCATTGTCACTATATAAACCCCTTCTGACAGCTTTACAGGGCTCGGCATGAGCAGACAGGATGCCACGCGCCATGGGTCGGAGCTCCCAGGGCTGAGCCAGCAAAGGCAGAGGAGCTGTCAAGCTCCGGTCTGCGCAGTGTGACATTCCCGGATGGCCCACAGATGCTGGGCTTTACAGTTCCTGGGATCACTGTCTCCAGGTCACAGATGTTACTCAGCTTGGAGGAGCCAGAGGGCGTCTGAAGCCACACAGTGGGCCCGAGCAAAGCTAGGATTAGACTCTTTTCTAAGAGGCCTGGATATGTGGGCAGGGCAGGGAGCAGCCTTCAGGACCAAGAGGGGCTCCCAAGACCTCCTCGGCACACTGTGTGGCAACCAGTACACCTGATATTTATTGAGCACTTACAATGTATTAATCATCACACTACTCTCTTTACGTGGTTGCCTACCTTATAGATGAAGAAAATGAGGCTCAGAGGATAAATGCCCAGGTCATATAGCCAGCGGGTATCAGAGCCCAGACTCTTGCCTGAAATCCCACATTCCCAACCACTTGCCCCATCTGAGCACAGTTGCTACTTTGACCTTACCTGTGGTTGTCCAAGGACGATGGAAAGGCCCTGTGACAGATAGGGACCAAGTGTGGGAGCTGAACCTGGCTGGGCCTGGGAGAAACCGAGGTCCGACAGTGCCACCTGGTGGTCCTGTGCACGAGTCACTGCCAACAAGCCCAGCAGGTCCCCCAGGGCCTAACCTTGGGGCATCTGGCCAGGAAGCTTTGGGAAAGGGATAGGGGGCAAATGCCAGGATTTCTCTAAGTGGTGTGATCAGATCCCTTCCTAGTCACATGGCTCCCCTTCTAGGCAAACCACTTCCCGGCACTGCCCATCACCCTTCTGGGCAGACTTATCCAAACACACACCTCACTGCCCTGCCTCCGGGTCTTTACACATGCAGTTCCTATGCCTAGTATATCCTCCCTGCTTTCAGAGCCCAGCTCAACTGCCAGCTCCTCTTGGGTGCCTTCACCGTGCAGGATGTGTCCACAGTCACCGAATTACTCATCTCTTCAACTCTAGAGGCCCTCTGGGACAGGGTTATGTATTTCCCATTACAGTCCTTCCGTTTGATTCCTCTCCTATCCTTCGCTATGGTTCTCATACAGCTGGTGCTCAGTAAATGAATTTTTTAAAAAATCAAATGCATGTTGAACGAACTCTCCAGGCGCTGAGGTGTGAGCAGCGACATGCAAGAGGCTGCACTTCCAGAGGCCGCCAGGAGGGGACAGCGTCAGGCCCAGCCCGGGCTGGAAGCCATCGGGGACC